ACAAGCACATAATTTAAAGTTTTGGGTACGTTTGCCCATTCTGTAAAAGACTCCCATTTCAAGAGAAAAATTGTTGTTAATAATACCAGGAATCGGTAAATTGACGAAAAAAAAAGAAAATACGGGCCGGATAGTTGGTTAAGCAAAGTTCTTTTGATCACAACCGGAAGAGGAACCCGGGGGTTGGGAAACGCAGCGAGACCAGGAACAGGAAAATCAACTGTTTATCTCGAAAAAGGCAATCGTAAACCTATCTTCAGTTCTTATAGAAAAGCGTTATCCTGGTTGGTGCTCCGCATGTGATGGGATCCAACCAGTACTTCATAACGAAGAAAGGGTTATGAGACGGTCTGAATAGCTTCATGTTTCAGCCAGGTTCCAGTCAACTTCCGATAGGCAACTTCATCCAGAAAAAGTGGGCTTCCGCGCCTGAAAAAGAAAGGGTTGTGATACTGGCCAGTCACTGATGCGCCTATGTGAGATCAAACACAATGTTATTCATTGCATTATGGTTATAAGCGTAAGTAGTTGTAGCAGTGAAAGTAAAAACGTAGAAGCAGTGACTCCTAGAAGCAAAGCTCTGCTTGAAGGCCACCTCCCACCCCGGTGGGCCTAACAAGATGAGGGTATTTATTGATGTGCATATGTGTATGTTTCCACACCACGAAATTCGGTTCCCGTCTCCTCCTTTCGGAGGTGGCGACATGAAATGCCATAGATAGCCCTGATCAACTCTTTTCTTCCTTCCGGTGACAAGGTTGTGACCATTCGTAAAGTTCGGCAGTCGTCTGAAATGCTTAAACAGTCCCATTTAGGGACAGCACTACTTACCTCCCTCACAGGGGCCGAGGATATAAAAGGGACCCTAAACAAGTACTGGGGTTGCATCGCCCGCACGCTGATCGTGGTTCACATATGTGAAAATGAGCCCCCGTCCTCATCCTCCCCTTCGTAGTTCACGCGCTGTAAGACTTATTCTACCAACTTTGGCAGTCTGCGATGTTAGTTCTTGTTGAAGCAATCCCAGGAGCAATGAAGGACGACGCTAGTCGCTCGAGAACTTGCCTACCCTCACGTGGACATAGAAGCGAGATGTTTAGTTCTGTCAGTTACAGTGCCTAGACTTTGTACCAGACAAATGGCAAGCTCACAGAGTGAATCGATGCCTGGAGAGGAAACAGAGAGGAAAATTAACTGACACAATGCGTTTCAACACTACAAACCATCTGCAACACTTGAAGCGATCACAGTGCAGGCAAAATGGCGTGGCTTAGATGTGGGCTTACTGATAATCTTATACTAACTTGCAATGGCTCTGCATTGACTACAACTTCGTGTGCAAAGCTCAACCCCCGCCTCACGCAGGTGCTTGTATGGGCACACGCACTAATAGCTACCTTCCCCTTATCCGTTCTGCTGAACACCTTCAGGGCAGACTCACAAAGTGGACCCCCTTTTGATAATGGCTGCACTCTCAGACTTCAGGACCCAATCCTCTCGTACTAAATTGCGTACTCCTCCATCTGACAATTTCCTCCGACCAATTCTCCATTACCCCTGCATATAATATACTATTCCACCCATCTGTCATCCCACTTCTTCTCCTTCCAAATGAAATCGGACCTGAAGTACACAGCGGCAAGTGCATTCCTCGTTAACATAGGCCACTGCGACAGCTCATTCTCAAGGTGA